TCAAATGTTAAAGGATGTCAAGCACTCTTAAGAGCACGCCGTGCAACAAGCGGTGCTCTAACCCTAACAGTATAGAAATGTTAATCAGAATCCTAACACAGCATCATTAATGAGAATAAAACGATCTTTTCACCATTGTAAGACAAAATCCTCCTTTTCTTTTTCTACCAGTAAACACAAAGAAATAGAGTTGTTAAAAAGCTACACCCTGGAAGGACTTTTCCAAAAGTTCAGTTTTCAGTTTATATGGGAACGAAAATCATAGAAAAAAAAGATTTTCTATGATTTTTTATACCTAAACACTAATGTGCCTGTGGACAGGGCCTCAGAATCACTCACAATAAGCAGTAGCTCAGCGGCCCCCAACCCGCGGGCCATGGACCGGTACCAGTCCATGAGTCGTTTGGTACCGCGAGAGTTGAGGCTCGGGTGGTTTTCAGGATTTTTATCGTTAACTCAGTTTCCCCGGGTCTTTTCCCGCGTTGTCGTTGTGTGTCTTATTTTGAAAGAAATATTTACCCGTTACCATAGCAACCAGAGAGCATTAAGAGGATGTTGCTGGCGCATTTCAGAAGGACACTGCTAATAAAGTTACACAATTACACAGTGAATTTGCATTTATTATTATGTTTACAAAATAGCACTGTTTTTGTCTTCGTCATATCATTTTATTTTGTTGAATTTACCCGCGACACCTTAAAGCCCGGCCTGTGAAAATGTTGTCTGACATTAAGCTGGTCCGTGGTGCAAAAAATGGTTGGGGACCGCTGGATTAGATTATTAGATGACTACTTATTGGCCTAACCACTGTCACACACCAAGAGAGTCCTGGGTTTGAACCCAGGCAGGGCCCCTCTATGTGTGGTGTGCATGTTCTTTAGTTTACCACAAACTCTACTATGGAAAAGACATACTAGTCCTCTAATAACATTAATGAACACTTTCAGATGCAGCATGTTTTAAGGAAAACTTTAAATCCAAACTAAAAAATTAAGGACAAGATGAGAAAGTTCAAAGGTTAAATTATAGCTGTATCCCCTAATGGAAATATTACAGTGTGGAAACTTGATGAGAGAGATGCTTGCCCAGGCACACTTTCTTGTAAGCCCTAGGAAACAGACTCTAATTGAAGGTCAGCTAAATACTCAGAGCTCCGTTAACTGTGTGTGAACTTATGTGCGCATAAATATGCAGAGTCACACACAAATGGCAGTGTGCATTCAAGTGCACTCACACAGACAAGCACTAAACTAATCCACAGACAAACAGAGAGATGGATAGACAGACCTGATCAGGTCACAACTGGTTAGCTGTGATCTGCATGGGAATGAGGTCATTAGGTCTGTGGGACGTACAGATATTATTTAATTTGTCCAGCCTTCAGCACAGCAGAGTCTAATCTCTCTCTCTCTCTCACACACACACACACACAAACAAACAAACATCTCCCTGCACAAACTATCACCTCGCATCCAACCTCACTGTACTTAAAAACATACAACAATCTTCTCCACTGCAGTCTCCAGCTTCATGACCCAAACACTCACTGGCATAGCTACTCTCACTTACACCAATCCAGTAAAATCCCAGCTAAGCATCACCAGCTAAACCAAATCCCTTTGGCTAGAGGTAAAATCCAGTGGAGTGTCCCACCTAAACACACATTACTTTATTGATTCACAAACGCCTTACAGCCTGGGCTTACGGAGAGCTTTCCAGAACATTGTCTACTTTAGTGGTTCTCAAACTTTTCACAATGAGTACCACCTGTTAAAATATATGGCTCTTAAAGTACCACCTTTATGACCTACATTAAAGTACAATAGTATATTTATTTTAATTGTCATAAACATGATGTGATAATAATAACAACTGTACTGCATTAAAACATTCACAGCAGGTGGGATCGCCAGTCTTTAAGTGATGACGTATGAACCCTGCTTCCGGGGCCAGTCTACTTTGTGTTTATTAAGGCTGTTGTGTTTTCAACATGTTTTAATGCTTTGTATCTTCTTCTATTTAATCTGAACAAGCCCCTACAAACAGTCAGTGACCACTGTCGGCCTCTCTCGGTTTTTATTACCACTGTTCATTTTAAAGCTCAGTTTTTAAAACCCTGCATGTAACTACAGCCCAGCCCATGCAGCAGTATATTAATGACGAACCTTGTATTGTGGTACAGTTGTTCTCCTGACTGAAGTTTGGTCCGTTTACAGCATCCTGCCAGCCTCACATTAACTTTTATCGAGTGGAAAAAAGTTAGCGTTCATCCTCCAGCTTCACTGTGTTTATGCTAACATAGCTGTGTAGCTAGCCACTACGTAGCACATCATTATATAGCAGCTAGCCCAACTTCAGTAACCCTACAAACGTCACTGCTGTTTAGTTGTCTGTCTTAATTTATGTATGAAGTGATAGCAGAGCTGTACGTTTGAACTTTTCAGAAATCCCTCAATCAGAACATGGAGTATTATTTATTCTTAACATTTTTTGGGAGACTTCCCGCGTACCACTAGAGGGAGCCCGCGTGCCACAGTTTGAAAATGACTGGTCTACATGTTGTTTCGGTGTACTGTCACCAGGGGGCAGTGTCAGAAATAAATGGAACAATAACGTGTACTGTTTTTGTTATTTAATATAGACATGAGTCATCGTTGTGGTTCTCTCTGCTCTGTTTAATTCATTTCCTTTCATTTGAACTTTTTAAACAGTCACCCTTCATCTTACACACAGCACCATCTTCTACTGTCCGTTGATTTTTTTGTTGGTCACTGGTTGCAAATCTAAAATTGCTCAGTTTAGCAAAAGAGCTACTAAAATGAACAAAAACGTGCTTACATGAATTCTGCTTCACGCAGCACCCTCAAACCAAATATGAGCGTTTTCACTTGTAAGAACACGGCTGATGATACACGACAACTTCAGACCTGAACTGATTCTGGTGACATTTTTTGGACTTTTTGCCTAGAAACATATAAAGAGTGATATTTGAAGATTAATACCAGTCTCATGTCAAGGCATCAACTTTAAAGTTACAGGTAAGAGGTGATTAGCATAGCTTAGCATAAAAACTAAAACCAGGAGGTAACTGCTCTGAGCTCTCTCACAACATTTATATAATTTCTATATTTCAGCTTACCCATTACCCAAGCAGTACTTTACCATAACACACATATGTGGTGATACTGAACAAGGATATATGGTTTCTGTTGAGGTTTTGTGGACGCATGACCATCAACCATGTGATATGAACCTGTTTGCCGTTTTGGACGTATGACAATCAATGGCAGGAGTCTCAAACTCGTGGCCCGGGGGCCCACGTCACCCCTACATGCTTTTTGTGACATTTTTGTTTGGTGGTGGTGTGCCGTGTGATTTTTCTAATGTGAAATATGTGCCGTGGCTCCAAAAACACCGAACTAGACTATCTGGTAACCATCAGAAAATAATGGCAAAATTACTTCTAAAGTCCCAGTCACTAACCAACAGACTGGTCAGTGAACCTGTGGTAACCACCTCATGCTCAGGAAAAACATGAATTCCCTAACCGGTCGGTAAAAACCTCCTGAAATCTTTGGTCACCGGCTGCGATTGACGTTCGTGCCTATGACGACTTGTTGCTTTACTGTGGCTGCATATGCAGCATCCCAATGATGCTAATCTAAGAATAAAAGATGGACACTTCAGTTTTAATTTCAGTGGACAATTATTACAGACTGCCCAGTTTTCATCAGCCTAGAAAAAAAAAAGCCGACAGCTGTTTCATTTGTTCTTCATTTTCACATTTGTCTTCCATTTCAGTAATACGTCTCCCAATAATATTATTAAATATTTATACACCCAGAATCCATTTCCCTCCTCCCCACGCTGTGTTCCTGAATGTAATTCACTGGAAGTCTAACAAGAACTCAAATGTATTTCGATAAAGCAGTAAAGCAAACAATTTTCAAACTGACACAGAGAGCAAAAGATAAAGACTCGGAGAGTCTGAGTAATGCACACCCACACCTTCAGCTATGAAATGTTTCAGCAAAAAAACACCCACAGCCACAAAATGAATCTGCCTATCTGTACAGTACGAGTGTACTGTGTAATTGCTTAGGTGCTAAACGTGCTCCGTCCCAGGACCGTGTCCTACAAGTAAACTCAACTGATTTTCAAATGCAAATGGACTGTGGTGGAATGGAGAAAGGAAGAGCTTTAAAGCTCTAAATTTGCATCCCATGTATCAGGTTGTTGTTTTTTTCCCATATTTAACGATGACCTGGATTTTTCCTTCAACTTCAAAAACTGGTTTAATTTTATAACATCACTATATCATAGTTGCATTTCCAGATATTTTCCCAGAGCAAGTTTAGGGGTCTCCATCCATATATTTAAGTCAGGGGAAGAGTTTATTAGCAACAGCTTTATTTGCAGAATGTGAGTGAGTCTGTGAGTTATTAGTTTTACATGCCTGTGAGCCTGAACAAACTCAGAGTTGGAAGTTGAAGAAAAGATGAGTGCACAACGGGAGCTACGGAGCTAACAAAGGAGAGACAGGAGAGAGACGGCAAAGCAGAGAGGAGCTGCCAAAACACAGGGAAGCGTGCACAGAGTGGGGCATTAAAAGCATTAAGAACAAAGATTATAACTACATGGAAACTCTGGTACATAACATGTGCAGATTTGTTCATTCACCATCTCGACTGTTCATGAGCCTCACTCTTCAATAAAGCTGTTGCGGACTCTGGTATTTTCTCTGTCTGTTAATCAGTCTCTTTTTCTTTCTCTAAATTGAAATCGGATTCGTGACTTTGTCACAAATGCCAATAACCACAGTAATACCTGTCTTTTGTTAGGTCTCTACCCCAAACAGCAATTATAGCTCATTCTTCACAAGGTAAGTGAACCCTGCAGTGACACAAGCTGTCATAAGCTGCTTGATAAATGCCTGGCGTGCGTGTTATATGCAAACTATCGCGCACCTTTTGAGATATTTTGAGGACATGCCGACTTACATTGTTGGGAGAGACTGTGAGGACACTCCTGCTCTTCCTCATCTTTCCGTAAGTATCTCTCGTGCTGTTCAAACACAGCAGCTTCACGTGCAAACCTGGAAAAGACAAATAGAGAGAATTATCATTTCGTCTTTTCTGGAAACATCCAGTTATAATAATCTATACTTTATTAGGAGTAACTCAGAGATCATGTTTTTTAAAGAAAAAACACGTTTTTACTGCTTGTGCCTGTCACCTGTACACAAACATACATGCACCAACAATGAGTTTAGGATTCAGGCTCATCTTTGTTTGAGAAAAATAAAGCAAAGCAGTCGAAACAGCCTAGCCTCAATATTGCTCCTATGAGTGTCATGCATCAGCGCAGTAGCACCAGCATGCAATAATGTGCAAAATTTTCTTCCCATAAAAAACAGACCAAGAGAGGAGCTGGCTGGCAACTGTGGCGACGCGATGGCTCTAATGATGCATTGATTTTTGTTTATCTGCGTTTCCTACGATCCCCCCAGTCCTCCAATAAAATCTGACTCATGTAGAAAACAAATAAAACCAATTTTCAAATTTCATTGAAATTGGAATTTGGTGTTGAAGGAGGATGAAATGAACAAGATTATTAGTTCTTACAAGAGACAAGATACAGATCGTGTCTAACAAATTTATTAGACCACCACAGAGGTTTAAGGTTTATGCCACAGCTTCTCTAATTTAACAATATTGATAATTACCTAAATCACTTTTTATGTTTCTTTAATTGTTAATCCACCAGCATGAGCAAGCTCTTTAATCATGGGGTGGCTGTAGCTCAGGTAGCAGAGCAGGTCAGCCACTAATCAGAAGATCGGTGGTTCAATCCCAGGCTGCCTCCAGGCTGCATGCAAAATATCCTTGGGCAAGATGCTAACCCCATGTTTGCCTAGTGGTGGTGGTCAGAGGGCCTGGTGGCGCCTGTGTCCGGCAGCCTCGCCTCTGACAGTGCGCCCCAGGGCACACTGGGCACTGACACCCATTGCCAGTGTGTGAATGGGTGAATGACTGAATGTTGTGTAAAGCGCTTTGGGGTCCTTAGTGACTGAGTAAAGTGCTATACAAATGCAGGCCATTTACCATTTATAATCAAAATGATGCTTTAAATTCTAAAATATAAATGCAGTACAGTGGGTTCAGTTCCACCATCAGGCCGGGATCTTTCTGTGTGGAGTTTGCATCTTCTCCCCGTGTCTGCGTGGGTTCTCTCCGGCTTCCTCCCACAGTCCAAAGACATGCAGTTAGTGGGGTTAGGTTAATTGAAAACTCTAAATTGCCCGTAGGTGTGAATGTGAGTACGAATGGTTGTGTATGTCTATGTGTTAGGCCTCTGACAGACTCCAGGGTGTACCCTGCCTCTCACTCCAAGTCAGCTGGGATAGGGGTGGGCGGTAGAAACGATATGAATTTGGCAAACGGTAGAGATTTTGCCGCTCTACCACGATAGCGCATGTTGATGGTGTCATCAAGCTGCGCCTGTTTTGGTCGAAAGCATCGCAGCGGCTGCAAGCATGGAGCTTACACGTGGGGAGGAGGAGGTGCGATGTTGCTCATATGCACCTGGTTTGGGTTTAAGCATGTTAAGCAGAAAAATATCATCTGCAAATTATGCCGAGTGACAGTAATCGCGAAAAGACAAAGCACGTTTTGGAATATGAGGAAATCCAAAACCATGGTTCAGGTGGTTGGGAAGCTTGTCTGTAACCGGAAGGTTGCCCGTTCGATCCCCCAGCTCTCTCCGTCCTGGTCGTTGTGTCCTTGGGCAAGACACTTTACCCTACCACCTACAGGTGATGGTGATGTAAGATATTTTGAGGCGTGAATGTAGTTGTGTAAACGTCAGATACCTGCTCGGTTCACAAGACATCACATATTTGCAAAAGTGCTCCGACGTTTTCGGAGATCTGACACCCACTAGCTCGAAGCTAACGGGAGGTCGAGACCTACTACAGCCGGGAGGAACACCGCTTTCCCGGCACATCGTGCCTGACTCCCTCGCTCAGTGCCTCCGAAGAATGCGGCTAAAACTTTTGCGAGATCTCGCAAAAGTTCCCGATGGATAAATATTTTAATAATCCATGATTTTTTGTGTTTTAGATTAACTGTTTTACACTTGTTTTGATTAAGATGCCAAATGATGGTTATTTACTTCCTCAACAGAAGTATGTGTTCTAGTCGTTGACCGTTGCGCTGATTAACTCTCAGGGAGGCTACGTTATATTATATATACTATATATATATAATATATATATATGATAGTACTCAATACAATATATAGTAGATATAATATATAATTTATATATAAATACAAATAGCACTAATTATAATATTAATTATATATAATATAGTATTCATACTAATATAATATATATATATATATAACATACATTATATATATAAATATATATATTTACATAATATATAGTATATAATAATATGTATATATATATACTGTACATCATACATACATACTAATAATTTATATAAGTGCTCATCAGATACAGGCTTGCAATATCCTACCGATCGTCCTGGAGCTAGCGATTTTTTCCAGTCGGGCTACCAAAATCTATCTCTTCCCTGCCCGTCCGGCTATTGTAAAAAATATATGTCAATGCTTTTGCATTCTTTCAGAAATGTAGCTGGGTAATTATGTCATTGGCATCGGTGAGCCACTGTCAATATGTGACATATTGAAATCGCGTTTGAATTTGCGCTTGTTTTTTGCTTTCACTTTGCAATCGCGAACTGTGTATAGAGAGCGACAGCACTGATCTGTGAGTGATGATAATTTGTGCACCAATTCCTCTGACATCGTCTTATTAATCGTTAGCTTACTATGCAAACATGACAAGTGAAATCTCCCGCAGCTTAAACATGTGAGAGGTTGATCGCGCAGAGAATCGCTGAGCGTTATGTGAGTGCGTGTGTAAAAGCAGCAGGATATATATTTTAGTTCTGCTGAGCCAAATAAGACAGGTCAGGGTGAAGAAGTGACAGCCAAAGAAAAGCTTACCACAAAACGGAAAAGTTATGACAAATCAGACTATAAGGCAAAAAGAAAGTGCAGCTTTATGGTTTCATGGACAAAAGAATTTCTGTGGCTGCAATATGACGAGCTAAATAACCAGGGCTGCACATAAGTGGTCCGCAGGTGCGCATTCGCTGTCAAAATAAAAAACACGCACAAGGGTTAGGGTTAAATTTAAAAACTGTACTTTTGAGTTAAAATATATATTTATAATTTTAATAAATGACAAATTAAAAAGGCATGAACATTTTTTTTGTATCGAAAAAATATCGAACCGTGACACCAAAGTATCGAACCGAACCGTGAATTTTGTGTATCGTTGCACCCCTAGTATTATATATATATATACATATACATAGTATATGTATATATATATATATACATATACATACATACACACACACACACACACACACACATACACACTCATTGTTAAATTATATTATTGGAATCTATACACCCACACAGATGTTTTTACATGTTATGAGCAATTAGGCCTCTGCTTTGCAGTCGTCATGTCATGGATACTTGGGATAAAAATGGGAACAGTCCCAATGCAATGCATAAACAATACCGCAACACATACAATAAATTTGGCTTTAACTAAATTAAAATGTTTTTTTAGCTCATTTCCGGTTCCATCTTTTTGCTTTTCACTATTATCAAGCGCCATAAATGTCAGCATGACTCTAGCTTCTGTCTCTCTCGCTTCTATCAACAGCGACAGATACAGAGATATTACAAATATTAACACAAAGCCATCCGTAGGATAGCTGCAGCACGTTTGCACAAAAATGTAGGCCATCACTTTTTCCACAAAGGAGACAGTTTTACAGCGTAGTGTTTAAACCCACTGAATTATATTCATGGACTGTGATTATTATCTGTAACATTATGCGAGAGAGCATTTACATACAAACATCTCTGAAGAAATGTTTTGCCTCCAGGTTGTTGGCCTTGCAACTGATGGCATAGCTGCTATAATGGGCTAATGCAGAGCAACTGTCACACTCAACCCTAACCTGACCGTCGCTCACTGTATGAATCACGAGTTAGACCTCTCGATGGTGAGAGATGTTGCAGGCAAAGAAGAGTGACGTGCCCCAGACGACCGCCCCTCCACAGGAAAGCAGAATAATTAGGCACAAGTCTCTCACCAAAGGAGATTGTTTTCCTTGTGTGAGGAGCGAGAATATAGTGTTGTCTTAGTTTAAGAAGATAATCACATTTTCAAACTTATGCTACTAAAATGCTTCACTTCATTTTGTTAATTTATTAGGTTTGCAGCTCTTTGCGCAACTAAAATCATCTCATTTTAACGTTAAGTGGCACACCTGCTCATGTGGTGCTGTCTGAAGGGGGATTTATTCTGTTAAAATATCACTTAAGCCTTTGTGTTATGGTTGATTAGATCCCCTGTGTTATGGAGAGCAACGGACAACACTGAGAATATTGTGCAAATTAATTAATTTAATTTTAATTAAAGAGATTGAAACATTCTTACAAGCGTTTGATAGAACAGCTCCGCTCGCAACCCCGGATAAGACGGATGTAAAACTTTGGTTTAAACTCTTAATATTCTACACTGCATTGACAGCAGCACTAAATAATAAATACTCCAACACAGTAAAGCAGACGGTAGTTTTTGAGATGTTTCAAGAATATCAGCCTTTCTGATTTTTTTTCCACAAATCACACCCTGCCTCTGCTTTTAACCCACTGTTAGAATATTATTTTAAACATTATGTAATAACATTACACAACCTTACTTTAAAAGCAGTGCTGGTATCTCACCACTTTTTAAGTCTGTAAAAAAATGGTGTACTCATCTAAAAAGACAAAGTGCTAATTCTGTCAAACAGTTTGTTTGAAAATGTGCACAAAGTGACTGAATGGTAGACCAATGATTGCAAACTCATGCGAAGGCGTTGGAGCATGCACGGGAATCATAAGGCACATGCTAATCAGTGCCATTACCTGATCTTTTCAAATAATCTTGCTAATCTTTGTGAGTTATCTCTCTTTCCTCTGCAAATGACAGTT